GACTCGCACAGATCCAGATCAAAATAAGTATAATAAATATAAATATGTATAAAGTGACAAGAGTACATATCAAAAAAGAAAATTTGATTAAAAACGTTTTGTTAACTTGATATATTCATGTACATTTTTTTTTATAATATTGAGGTTCGTTTGGAACGAATACTCCGAACTCCCTTTTAAAAGAATTTTTAGATCAAAAGGTACATCAAGCTCATTTAAGTTTTTTTCTTACTTTATTTCTTTGAATATTATATGCTGGACAATCCATAAAAAAGTGTTCATTATCTTCTGTATGGTTCTGTATACATGTCAAATCACACAGAGATACAATTTTGTACACATGTTGTATCATAGAGAGCTACAATTCTGTACACATGTTGTATCATACAGAGCTACTTTTCTGTATACATGTCAAATCACACAAAGCTACTATTCTGTATACATGTCAAATCACACAGAGGTACAATTCTGTACACATGTTGTATCATACAGAGCTACTATTCTGAACACATGTCAAATCATACAGAGCTACTATTCTGTATACATGTCACAACACACAGAGCTACAATTCTGTATAAACGTCAAATCACACAGAGCTACTATTCTGTATACATGTCAAATCACACAGAGCTACAATTCTGTACACATGTCAAATCATACAGAGCTACTATTCTGTATACACTCACGTGCCAAAAGTATGTCTTTTTGTTCAAGATGGCCGCCGTAAATAAATTAAATCAATGATTTTTTTTCCAATAAAAAATAATTTTCACTCACGAATTTTGACTTATTTGTGTCACCATTAAACTGCCATATATTATGTAATGACTTTGTAAACCGGAAGTAGTCACAACTTCTGCTATTTTTCCATTGTCAATGTAAACAACAAGCATGGGACGAAGGGGGCGAGAACTTTCTATTGATGAAAAGAAGACCGTAATATCCTTAATAGAAAGTGGATTAAAAGCGGTTAAAGTGACTGAATTACTAAATTTGAATTCCTCGACAATTTGTCGATTCTTAAAGCGATTTCGTGAGTGGGTTGACGTTGAAAATAAACCTCGAAGTGGACGACCCCCATCCATGACAGTTCGCGACCACATGGCTCTCTCTAGAATCGTAAAAAAAGACAGAAGAAAAACTTTAACGGAAATAACCGCTGAATACAACAGGTCAGTGCCAAATTTTGTATCTAAGAGAACTATTCAGCGCCAACTTCATCGTCAGCAATACTGGAGAAGGACTGTGGCAAAAAAATTGGGGAACCGTGAAGTGAACAGGAAGAAACGACTTCAGTATTGTAGGGGAAAATTAACTTCGAAAGTTGACCAACAATGGAAGAATGTTATTTTTAGTGATGAGATGACGATAGTTGTAAAGCCAGATGGTAAAGTTAAGATTGGAAGAAACCATCGGAGAAATGGAGGGGCTATTGCCTGGGGTATCTTGGACAAGGGCCCTAACGCTGCTCGAAGTTAATGGTGTGGGGGACAATAACATACCATGGAGCTGGATTACTGGCATTTGTTGATGGTAATATGAACTCGCAGAAGTACATTAGTGTGTTAGATGAACATTTATGGCCCTTGATAGTAAAATATTTTGCAAATTCACCCTGGCATTTCATGGATGACAATTGCCCTGTTCATCGCTCACGATAGACAGAAGACTGGAAACATAGGAATGGCATTCTACCATTTTTTGGCCCCCGCAATCCCCTGATTTAAACCCAATTGAAAATGTCTGGCTTGTTTTGAAAAATCATGTTAAACGTCAGATTTTCCACATCCTTACCATCGACGACTTGAAACGCGAACTACAATATGCTTGGAACAATCTATCAAAAACTTACCTCAGGTCTCTCTACTCCAGTCTACCGAAACGATGTCGGAAAGTGATTGCATCCAAAGGCTTCATCACAAAATATTAAGTCAAAATACGAAGAAATAAGGTAAGTGCATCATTTTTTTATTCAAGTAGGAAACAAAAACTATGGCGGCCATCTTGTGAAAATATTGACATCCTTTTTTTCACGTGAATGTACATGTCAAATCACACAGAACTACAATTCTGTATACATGTCAAATCACACAGAGCTACAATTCTGTACACATGTCGTATCATACAGAACTACTATTCTGTATACATGTCAAATCACACTGAGGTACAATGCTGTACACATGTCAAATCATACAGAGCTACTATTCTGTATACATGTCAAATCACACAGAGCTACAATTCTGTACACATTTCAAATCACACAGAGCTACTATTCTGTATACATGTTAAATCACACTGAGGTACAATGCTGTACACATGTCAAATCATACAGAGCTACTATTCTGTATACATGTCAAATCACACAGAGCTACAATTCTGTACACATTTCAAATCACATAGAGCTACAATTCTGTATACACGTCAAATCACACGGAGCTACAATTCTGTTTACATGTCAAATCACAAAGACCTACAATTCTGTATACATGTCAAAACACACAGAGCTACAATTCTGTATACATGTCAAATCTCACAGAGCTACAATTCTGTATACATGTCAAATCACACAGAGCTACAATTCTGTATACACGTCAAATCACAAAGAGCTACGAATGTGTATGTATACAAGTCAAATCACACAAAGCTACAATTCTGTATACATGTGAAATCACACACAGCTACAATTCTGTATACATGTTGTGAGGGTGTGTGTTATACACCTTGATGAACATTCAAAAATCAAAAGAAGAACTTTAAAATTTTAACAAAATTTAATAATTAATTTAAAGAACAAAATTAAAATTTGATAAACAGGAATTCAAACAAAAAAGAATTAACCGAAAAATGTACAAAAATAATATTAATTGAAAATGTCTTTGTTAGTTGGTCCTGTTCCACGTCAGTAAGTGCGCATGTCCCTTGGTATGAATTGTTCCCGTTTGCCAAGGTCCTTCCGTAAGTGCGGGAATCCTTTCAGAATAGATTTTTCTAGTTTCCATTTAGTATGCCTGCACGGAACAATGTTTATTGAAAAAGGGCTGAGTGGCACACTAGGTTCCTCTCAGGTTCCAAATACAGTGGTCCGACGACAGGCTCAACACTTTGAAATCTCTTTCAATGTAACTAAATATTCATAGTTATTTCTAAATTCACAATAATAATTCACAAACTTTCAAAATGTGTCGTTCATATAATGACTTTAAATCAGATAATGAAATGTTCAACGTGGGTCACCGCCCGGTAATATAACTCACAGAACTAGTTTTAGAGATGTGTCGTATGGGCCGCCATAGTCCTCCCACACGCTTCTGTCTCTGTCACACACCATAACATGGAGATGGCAGCTCCCTAATAAAGAATTTCAGTACCCAACAGTTTACCCACTCTGTAATATTCTGTAGAGAGACTTTAAGGCAAGAAAATAAGCAAAAGACCCATGTGGTTTTCAATGGACAGGGCCCCTGGTAGCACTAGACGAACACGTCTATCGGCTGTTGTTTTTCCCGGGTACTACCTTTAACCTTACTATTTAAAGTAAAACGAGGGGCTCCCCACAGGACTGCTATGTGACTATGGGAACTAAAGGAATTAAGTGGCTCCCCATAGAATTATTAAACAAATTACCGGAAGGGTGAACCAAGGTAAATTATTTACAATATAATGAAGAATTTCAGTATGTCAAATCACACAGAGCTAAAATTCTGTATACACGTCAAATCACACAGAGCTACAATTCTGTATACATGTTAAATAACACAGAGCTACAATTCTGTATACACGTCAAATCACACAGAGCTACAATTCTGTATACATGTCAAATCATAAGGAGATACAATTCTGTATACATGTCAAATCACAAGGAGATACAATTTATGTTTCTAGTGATGACAGACAAATAACACTTTTTTCGCCAGAGAAAGGTTCTTAAAATTCCCACATAAATCATTGAACCTCTTTTATGGTCAAAACTATTCCCAAACAATAATGGCGGGAACATTTAAATGTACTTCTTAGGGTACTTGTATTGTTTATGAAAAACTATTGCCCTATCGGTCTTCAGATAAAAAAAACGTTTATTCCCGATCATGTCGCATGAATTGAAACAAAACCTATATTTTTTAGTTTTTTCGAGGTTTCAATTACCCTATGAATAATCAAAGTCTTTTTGTTTTTGAAGAGAATTTTTTATTTAAGATACATAGATTCCTTTGTGAAAATAAGAAAATGCTACCATTTAAATTAAATTTTCCAAGGTAACATTGATATTTTATTGCAGTTAATAAAATAATATAATTATCACGTCAAACCATATTCCCCGACAATGACAAGGAGCACACGGCGGTTGTTACTGGTCGGAAAGAGATGCTCCCTCTCAATGGCACCTGATCCCGCCTCTGATGTTTCGGAAGTCCGTGTTTGCTTTGCTCCTATTTTATACTTTTTTATGGACTTTGATATCGTATACTGTTCGTTACCTTCATACTCTTCATTTATACCCCTTTGCTAATATATACAGTCTACGTACTTTTCAATTCACATTGTTCTTCTGTTATCGGTATCTACGTTCAATTTAAATACAAGGTTCAGTGTTTTCAATTGCAATTGATTTATAAACTTTTGATCGTAAGTTATGTGATTTCATTTAAAATTTTACAGTGAATCCTGATAAACAATATATTGGAAAATGAACTTCTGTTTAATTTTGATAAATGTATGACTGACAATGATCGGTATATGATAATTAATCTTTATTAAGACTAAATAACTTGGTAAACCCCCCTCTTGTATTAAGTCTAGTTTGATAAACTGATTTGACAGTCACGTGATCATGAAAAAATTCATGCATTGTGTACCGTGATACATAATTTTTCTCTCTTCCAAATTATTAATTTTAACCTTTTCTTAAGCAAAACAGATTGTGTACTTTTAAGAGGCTTTGGCATCTGAAATAATTGCTAAATACGTAATTAATTCATTTGAACAGATTTTATTAGTACCGAATGAGCCTCTACACCATGGACACATTAGAATTTAGAGACCAGTGTAGAGTACGTCAGTGTTTCCAGTGTCAAGATGACACAGAATTCTACTGCAACACATGTAAACATGAGCTGTGTCTTAAGTGTAAAGAGAAACATTTCATTGATCTATATACCATTTACCATGATGTTGTGATCTACCGAGAGAAATTTGACCACATTACAAAACAAGAGACTTGTGATAGACATCCAGACATGTTGTATGAAAAGTACTGCCATTCCTGTAAACTTCCTATATGTTTCCAATGTACAGAACACAGACATCACCAAATACTTGACCTTGGAACAGCATACAAAACCAATCGTCAGGAACACAGAAACACCCTTCACAACATCAGAAGTGAGACTTTCTATAATAGCTGTTGTCTTCTGGTAGGAATCAGATCTGATATAAAAAATTTTCACGGAGAAATCTCCAACAATCAGTCAAATATGATAAAAAAAGCCCAGAAACTAAGGAACCTCATAGACGTTGTCATGTATGATGTTAAAATCGGACACAAAAGATTTATTCAAAGTTTACAACAACAGAAGAGAAAAATAGCCATACATCTTGCCAGCATAGAAAACTTTGAACTCAGATCTGAACAGTTAGCAAACAGACCGCTAAAATTCCTCATGTTCCTAAAGAGAACTTGTATACAAAAGTTAAAGGACACTCTCAATCTCACACATTACGCCCTGGTCTGCCTCAATGAAGATATCAACATAGAGGACGTGACTGATTTTCTTGGTGAAATCCAAATCACAGAGACAGGAAAAAGACAAGTAAGAAATGAAAGTGTGCTGAAACTGATGTCTAAACCGGTATTACACAGAACTGTCAATGTGCCAGGTGAAGTATATAATATTGCCTATAATATCACGCATATTTCCTTTGTGACACCTAACCAGGCCTGGATCAATGATAGTAAAGATCTGATCTTGATTAACCTTGAGGGTGACATACTTCGTCAGCTAAGAGATGTTTATAGCATGTACGGACAACACACAGTGAATCTTACTGGTGATCTTATTTACATAGACAGTGATGGTAACATTATCAAACTCTCTAAAGATAACAGAACAAAGAATACACTGATAAAGAAAACAAAACCATGGGTACCACAGTGTATCTACTCCTCCCACCTCAACGGCGATTTGCTGGTCGGGATGCAGTCCAACAGAACAGTCACAATAGCAAGCTATAATGACAAAGGACAACACAAACAGAGTATACAGCATCACAAACCAGACCAGAAACTGTATTCTCATCCAATCTATATCACAGAGAAAAATAATGGAGATGTTATTGTGTCTGATATTGGCGGTTATCATAGCGCTGTAGTGGTGACAGACAGTACAGGTAGACATCGTTTCTCCTACAGAGGACACCCATCAGGATCAAGACTATCACCATGTGGAATCTGTACTGACGCACTGTCACACATCCTGGTGTGTGATTTTATCACCAGCACAATACATATGCTTGACAAGGACGGTCACTTCCTGTCACTGATACAGACACAACGGAAAAACAGACAAGTGATGAACGGACCAATGGGCCTGGGTTATGACGACAAAACTCATCTTCTCTGGGTTGGATTATCCTACGGGATAAAGAAAGTGCGTGTATACAGATACATAGAGAGGCAGGACTATCTACAATACATAAAAAATCAGAGTAAATTAGATATTTGACAGTACACATTCTTTACTAACACAGTGTGCAATCGAAGAAGTAAACGAGATCTATGATGAACTCATTCATACAAAAGCAGAAATATCTGAAGGACCTTTGTAACTACTAGTAGTTATTTGTTCAACCTGATATAAATTACATCAATTGTACAAGATAAAAACTGTGTTCTGCACATATCTACATGCTGTTCACTTTTACAGTATATATAAGAGAAAATCATATGGTACATTATATAAAAGTAGAATTTGTTTAATCTTACACATGTATAGATAAGTAAATAAAAGTTGATTTCGGGATGGAGGAAGTTTTAAATCTCGAGTCGTGATGAGGAGCACACAGCAGGTGTGACCGGTCAGCAGGGGATGCTCACTCATCCGTGGTACTTGATCCCACCTCACTACGAAAGCCCAGAAGGCTCATTCGAGATTCGAAATACGAGATTCGAAATTCGAGATTCAAAATTCGAGTTTCGAAATTCAAGATCCAAACTAACCAATCAAAAGCGGTTTCAACTTTTGATTACTTCCCTTTGTTACGTTTTTATTGTCAAGAAATTGTTGAATATATTTATAACAAATGTATCATTTGCTAAAATGGTAATGCAAGAAAAAATGCTTTATGTATTAAAACGAAATAAAATTAAAATTTGGATTACATTTTGAAATATACATATACAATTTTATTTTTCTAATTTAACAAAATAGTAAATACGTATTTATGGAATATTATATGGTCTTATCGTTGACTTTCGGAACAAGTCAATCAGATCGTTGCTGATTGAGAATGTTGCATTTGATTATAATTAGATACGAAATGTTAAGAGTCGTATCTTCACTGCACAATAATTTAATGGTATATATTTCATTACAATTATAAAGGGTACACTTGTGCAGTGAGACTTGACTGCTGAATCAAACTGTAGCGTTATATAAGGTTTGATAAGAGTATATTTTAGTCTTTGGTCATAAAGCTATGGTTAGAGACTAAAATATAACACCATAACGCTATATAGTTCTGCATCTAATTTAGACTCATCTACTATTTTTTATTAATTCAAGAAATCAAAGCCTTAGATGAAGATAAGTAATTGAATACTTAATTTTTATGTATTTCCTCTATCAGGAAAACGAACGCGATTTCTTTTTATCAATACTACGTCGTCTTTCATTTTCAAGTCTTTCAGAGTGTTTGGAAAAATAGGCAGGCGGGGTGGGTAGGGGTGGAGTTATTGTTAATCTTTATTAGACACTTGACAAAGATTCATAACTTTATTTATATGTCATCAACCCGGTAAACAAAGTGTACAATACAAAAATATATATATTTCTGATATATGTATTCTATTTAATATTTAAGAAGCCATAATATAAATTGAAGTATATCTTGCTGATCAAAAATCCAATGATTATTTAAATTTCCTTCTAATATATATAACACTCTTTCTTGCATTGTAATTTCATTGAATGGCCTATTTGTTATTTATATATTAAACGATTTCTTGATAGTAAAATCATAATAAAGGGAAGTAATCAAATCTTGAACCCGCTTTTGATTGGTTAATCTGGATCTTGAATCTCGAAACTCGAAACTCGAATTTCGAATCTCGTATTTCGAACCTCGAATGAGCCTTTTGATTGGTTAATCTGGATCTTGAATCTCGAAACTCGAATTTCGAATCTCGAATTTTGAATCTCGTATTTCGAATCTTGAATCTCGAATGAGCCTTCTGGGCTTTCGTAGACCTCTGATGTTTTAGATGTATTCTTTTGCTCTGCTCCTGTTTTGTATTTTTTAATGGACTTTTAAGCTTAATACTGTTCGTTATCTCCATATGTTTAATAAAGCTTTGCATACTGTAAAATTACTTTTTCCTTGTGTAATTAATTAAAGCTATATACACGGTCACAAATTTTCCGCAAAATTTGTCCAAGCATACTTAATGTAATGTAAGACATTTAGTGGCAGTCAAAGAAATCCGCGTAATTTTAAACCTTCAGATTAAGCAGAAATTGAAATTCTGCGGATTTGATTCGTGGAAAAAAGTGTCACCAGAGCACAGAATACTTCTCGAAAACGTGTAGAAATGACATGTTTCTTCATTGTAAAGAAAAACATTAGTAGTTAATTTGAAAAGCATATATCATGATGTTGTGATTTTCCGTGAGAAATATAACGGCAAATGAAAACTAGAGACCTTTGAAAACATAGTTTATGAAAAGTAATTAATTTATTCATGTAAAATTCCTATCTGTTTTCAATGTACAAAACACAGAAAATACAAGATACAGGATATTAAATCGGCGTATAAAACAAAAAGACAACACAGAGGAATTTTTCATTAAATCTGAAGTGAAGATCTCTATAGGGTCTGTAAGTCTCGTTAACTTTCACTTTCGTTTTCTAACTTCCGGGTACTTGGCGTTCTTGGAGACAATGATTTACCGCTTGGCATTTAGTTTTAAGCCTCGCGGTGGACTAGGAGAGCCTGTCACGTCTTTTATTTCCTGATTATTGAAAAGAAGAGGATATAATGGATTGATTGATACAGGTAAACAGCGTTTAACTGCTTTATTGTTTTATTAAACGACGTACATATAAGCCATTCCGTATGGGTCACGATAAGCAGTGTGGTTGGCAACCATTATAAAGCATAAAGGAAAATTAAAATATTTTTAATGCTGAAATAATGTGTTTCCAAACAAAAACGTTCCCTAACGATTGGTTTCTCAAATTTGTTTCATTTATTTAGCACACGGGACGGGTACATAGAATGGGGGGGGGGGGGGTTAACCAACAAAATAAGGTAAACACCAATTTTCAATGTCTAAAGGCTATATGTATATATTTGCAATAAAAAGGGGGCTAAAGCCTATGTATTATACTTGTATCACAGTAGAAATAAATAGATTTACTTGTTATGTAACTCTATCCAGAAATAAAAATGTCCAATATTACTTCTTTCATGTTACTCTATATATATTCAATTTCAATATAACTTGTATAGCCTTATGACTCCCTTCCCGAATACTCTTTCTTTTTTTTCTTTCTTAAAATAGGAATTAGAAATAGGAATATTTTTAATGAAGGCATTTGTCAGATAGATAAATCTTATGTTGTCTCCAAAAAGGCAATGACTGGGTCCATAGGACATTCATACTTTAACGATAGAACATTTTATTTACATTTGTCATCATATTTTATAGGGATCCAGCAGATACAGAAAAAGGGACAACACTTCGACTGAATGTGTCATCCATATACCGGTATAGATCTGTTCTGTTCATGAGGCATACATACTGAAAATGTATTACATTTGGTGTGTATAATATTTGGTGGAAATTCAATTTTCAACAAGTTATCATTCTATTAGATATCTGAATGTGCTAGTTATTAAATTCATATTCAAGACATTTAGTGATGTACTTGGATAGGCGGACTATGTTTTCCACTAAATAAAATATATGGCTAAATGTAATATGTTTACATTATGTATAGTACGTATTTCTCATAATTCTTATACTCATGAAGAGTGTGACAACTTCCAAGTAGTTAATGATGGAATTTATTTTCCTTTGTATCAAGTAAATTTTGGGCTGCTCTTTTTTTATCTTCATTATCAAACCTACTAGTTAATTTATTTATCAAATTCAGGAAAGCTCACATACAATGATAAATAAATTAAGTTGAATGAACCATAATACTAGTTAAGTTTGGCACATACTTTCTTATTAAATATCAAATTTGATTGGTAAAAACATATTTGCTAACAATTACTTTTCTCCTTCGGTGTGCCTAACATTACATCCCTATGATTCAAAATGCATGTCGATACATGTAGGTACATGTAACTTCTCCATAAAAATAGCTAACTGTGCAGAGTGTTCGCACACTTGTTTCAAAGAATGACATTTTTTTAAAAATATTTCAGAGTAACAAGTCAAATATTGCATGTTTATTTTGATACACTATACATGAACTTGAGAAAAAAATTAAGGATGTTGACATTGTATATTTGCTAGTTACTTGTGTAATTAGTTATATATTAATATATTAAGGATGTACACAGGCATAATATATCACTGTTAATATTTGAGAAAGTATTCATTTTTTGTGTAGATGCTCACTTCCACTCTAATACATTTGCCAGGTTCTTGTGAAAAATGTTTTATTTGGCACCATTCAGCTACAAATACCCAATGTAATCTTTGCCGGTGGAATTGTGACCTCAATCAAGTGAATCAACTGCTGCAAAATGTTTCAAACATTTTACACCTGCAGGTTAGTACTTATAAAATTTTGTTTGAAGGAAAATAAAGGCTAACAAGATCTGAAAATACAAGCCAGATGTAGTACAAGAGTGTTGATACAAGTCATTTAAAAATTTCATTTCTTTGCAGTTAGTGATGAGTGCAACAGAAGTTTTTATCAGGATCTCGTCCGACATCATAGGTACAACTGGTCACTGTGATTTCCTAAATAACAGGACATATTGTGAAGACGCCTAGGCAGTTACATATGTACACGTGGCTCCAAATGATGCTTGACTTCACTTTATACGTTAACCTGGATTGGTCTTTGATGCAATAATACAGAGCCATGTCATGTTTTAAATCCCATCTTCCCACAGTCAGATGCTGAAATAAAATGATTTTGATTTTAAAAATATATTTTTTGTTTTTATGAAATGTAACAAAACATTTTACAGAAATTAAAATATTGTACAAGTGGAAATTTTAGTGAGATCATGATGCAAATTTAGTAATTTGTCCTTAAAATTTGGTATTTTCTATTTATCGAGAAGTAATTGTAGCGATTTTTAAAATATTACTAACTTTATAATATTTGTATATAACTATTTTCATTAACATAATTATTACACCTAAAACACATTTAATTTTCAGTGATATTCAATTTTAGCAATTTCAGAAACCTAGCTGATCATGCCTCGCTAAAAATTACGCTTACACGGAATTTAAACTACCAATTGAATAAATATCTTAAATGAAAATCTTTTGAAAGATTTTCTTGTCAATTCTTTGCTGATAGGGTTACTTACCTTTAATAATGTCATGACAAGTGAGGCACATGGCTGGTCTTCACGCTGGATGAATTCTTGATCAAATCAGTGATGTCCTAAGATTTCCAGATAAGCTGACAAAAACCTGTAATTTAGCAAACTTCTGTAAAATTTCATTCGAATTATTGCACAGTTGTTCCAGTATGCATTACTAATAATTTAGGTGTAATGAGTTATAAATCTGGTAAATATCCATTTATTGGATATTTAATACAAATCTTAACCTTCTTCAGAATGACATTGTCCTTTTTATACCAAAAAATGTCAAAGGCCTTTTCATAAAAAAAATTGATTTAAAATATTTGTTTTACACACTGTTTTCATATATATATGTCCTAGAACTTATTCTGCTGCATCTGATCATACCTGTATTTGATTTGCATCTTTAAGGAGTCTGATCATTCAAGTCAGTTTAGTCAGTTTAGTGCTTGACTGGATCTTTCAACAACAGCATCTTTCATCTTTGTTACTGCCTGGTTCCCTTGTACTTCTGCTATAAATAAGTTATAATGTATATAATTGTATGAGATTGATGAATAAATAAAGAGGAGAAAATGCAGGGGACCAGACCGGGATTTGAACCCAGGCCACATGAAACTCCGGTCAGGTGCTCTACCAACTGAGCTATCTGGCCACCGGCAATCGAACCCCGCTGACCGCCACATTCCTCCCTCCTTAAAGGTCTTTAGACCCCAACCCCGGCTCATCCCTGGCAGGTCTTTCACCTATCAGTTCCAGGACATGGCACAGCACCAAATGTAGTAAGAAAGGAGAAATACAAGAGAAAACTTGTGGCTGGAACGGGAATCGAACCCGGGACCCCTGTATCAGGTCCAGCACAATACCCCGATAAAGGTATATAGCTTGATAAAGCTATATACATGTAGCTTTATTAAGGTATTTAAAATACCTTGATCCAGGTATTTTATGGAATGAAAATTCAAAACAATTCTTTAAAAATTAAATACTGAAAGTTGAGTTCTTAATTTTTGTCAGTGTGTCCACTTGTGCATGAAAAACACTCTGGTATCAAAAAGAAAGCATAAAAAACGTCTCCTCACATGACATTTTTATACTGATTTGTTTATGTTTGAGCACTTAACATGCATGGGTGAATATACTGACAACAACTCAGAACTCGACTCTCAGTAATTAATTTTTTTTAAAGATTTTTTTTAATTTTCATGACATAAAATACCTTGATCAAGGTATTTTAGATACTTTGATAAAGCTATATAGCTTATTCAAGCTATATACCTTTATTGGGGTATTGTGCTGGACCTGTGTATTACTAGTCAGGTGTCTAACCACTGAACTATCCAGGCTGATATCCATGGTCCATAAAGCCCGAAATTCTACACATGTATGTTTATTGTATTGAAGTGATTTGAATTTTGTTTAATGTTGAATGCAGCGAAATACTTCAAATAGCAAAATATAATAATTTTACATCTTATCTTTGGGAAATAGATCTAAAATAGGTGATCGTATAGGTGACACACAACAGGTAAATCTTTATTTAAAAAGATATATTTACCGATGCAAAAGTGATGCATGCAGGCTCCACAATATGACGTTTGTACCCATCGGACACTGACAAAACTTCTCCTCTATAATCAGCTGATAATAACATTATCGTCCTTGAATTCGAGAAAAATCTGTTAATAAATTTAGGCGAAGGATGATTATGAATCTATTTCATTCAAGTATAAAGTAAAACACTTCATTTTCTCTCAAAATAAACAAGAAACAGTTGACATTCTCTGATTGTTTACCTGTACTTCGATCGAATTTTTCCTGGTGGACACTCGCACCCAAGCTTTTATGAGACACAATTCATCCATCGTAAGTCGGAGAACCCTTCTGCTTTGTATAACTACTTAACTTTTCCTCAGAAGCTTTGTATAAACCAGAAACATGCTTAACTAAATACACAGTTCCTCATGTCATGTACCCGGAAGTGAAAATTATCGTAAAATCTCGCGAGTCACGTGACGAGACTTACAGACCCTATTAATAACTGCTTTTACTTGACAGAAATCAAAACTGGCATTAAAATCATTCACATATATAGAGTCAAGAAATACCCCTGGTCTCTTAATGATTATCGCTTTTGAAAAAGCGTTTGATACCATTTCATGTAACTTCATACATCAAACACTTTGTTTCTTTACTTTTGCTCAGTCAATTAGAAATTGGATAAAATATTTCTATAATAATATAAAGTCCTATGTTTTTTTCAAAATGGGATTGTGTCTCAGTATTTTTCCCTGAAAGGGGTTGTACTGTATGTTGTATGTTGTTAAACGTCCCTCTCGAGAATTTTTCACTCATATGGAGACGCCACCACTTGCCGGTGGAGGGCTACAAATTTTGTCCTATGCTCGGCACTCAGGGCCTTTGAGCAGTGAGGGGTCTTTTTTGTGCCATCACCTACTGCTACACGGGGTCTCAGTTTATACGGTCTCATATGAAGGACCAGTCTCCACCTCCAACAGGTGGATTCGAATCCGTGACGTAAGAATTGACTCCTTACTTTGCGACTCTAGAGCAGACGCTCTAACCATTGCGCCACGTGGTCAAAAGAGGTTTAGACAAAGTGATCCTA